AGAAAAAAAAAAAAAAGTATCTTCACTGAGTGCTAATATAGAAAAGAAAAAAAATTAAAATAACATCTTGTTTTGCGAGGGGGGGGGGGGGGGGGGGGGTCTTCTAATGTGTCGGTGGCTTTAGTCTAGGCTAGGATAGATTATGGGTGAAATATCTCCCCCATAATAAAAGACTACCCTTGAATAAATGAAGCAAAAGACATATTAGAAGACCCCCCTTAGAAAATCAACTTTTTTTCAAATAGTTTTTGAAATTTTATTGACTTTTTTAGTATTTAAGTCCATAATGGTATCTAACTTCAGTATCAACAACATGTTGCTTCTGTCGTGATAACGACACGTCATTTTGGAGTTTAAAAGAAAGCTTGAGAAATAATTAATCGGAAACAACTGTTTATTAAAGAATGTGCATTTCTTTATAGAAAACATATTATTCAGTCATTTTAGTGCTCTGTCGCAGCATATTCTGAAAGAATTCTTAAGGTTCTCTATACAAAAAAAAGTTTCGCATGGTAATAAGATATAATGGACTCAGTGCACAGTCGTGGGTGTAACACATGAAGAATTCTTCGTAAAATAGTAGTATAATTGGTAAAATTTCGTCGCATAATAATTAAAAGATCTCATCACCTGTGACTTCTAAAAATGTGGAAACGTATTCATCACAAAATAGTCTTTCATAATTGAGGAAAATATGATTTCATGTATACATGTTAGAGACAGGAACGAACAAGAAAATTACGATTCGCAGCTTCTCTGTTCTGATTCAATCCACCTCACATGAATCTAGTCGAATAAAGTTATTTGACAGGCCGATTTAGTTTTCATCTCTGATGTATGTCAGCTTCTTTATGAGTACTTCCCATGAGACTCAAAACGCACTTCTTTTCTCATTACAATCTAAAGCCATTTTTCGAAAAAGATACAAAAGAAAACAGAAAATGTGTATTCAACTGCTGTTTTTCTATGCATTACTTATTTGAAAGGCAATCCTATTCATTGGAGTTGGCATGCGGCTAATAAACATGCTAGCGGTATATTGCCTTGTGAACGAACTCTCTCTATATTCATCAAACCTCAACACGAACAACTCATTTAAAGAAGTTTGATAAAAAAAGTTAATTTTTTTCTCGATTATTTAGTCATTGAGAAGTTTAAATTTTGCCAATGATAGATTTTATTATTTGTTTTAGAAAAAAAGGATGCTATTTGACGTTGTACCAAGAAGTTAGGATACGTTGCCTTTACTATTCTAAGAATATTTATTAACAACGATAGACTCTTTTTTTTACAAGATAATAACTGTTTCTTTCTCATTCGACACATGTGGAATACGCGAAATAAACTCATTTTCTAACGATTATACTGAACAACGATGAATTTAAACTAAGGTGTGTTGGCGTGACTGCTAAAAAATAGAACTTTTTTAAAGGACATAATAGAAGACCTCCTTGTAACTTGTGAGCGATAAGACAGAATAGAAGACACCCGGGTCTTCTAATGTATCGCTGGCTTTAATATTCTTCCAAAATTTGGTTGAAATCGGAAGAAAAATAACAAAGTTGGTTTCTGAGGCCCCCCCCCCCCCGCCCTAAGGTGACATAGAGTAAAAGAAGAAGTAATCAAGCAACCAAATACACTTACCAGACCACATATTAGTAAGAACAGCGGCACAAATAATACCTCTATAGTGACAGTAGTCAAGTATCCCTTGCACCTGAGACAAATTTGCGAAGGAACCTGGTGAGGCACAATAAATGACACAAATTGGCTTGAATTCTTCAATAAACTGGAACATGCTCGATATTCCACCTTTATTTTCCCAGCCTTCAATACCCTTCGAGTCCCAAACAAATACTTTCAATTGTTCGGCATCCGAATTGCCTTCTAATGATTGACACTTGACTTCATACTTATAGAACGCTTGAGTACATGCCTGCAAATGGGGACTTGTTAAAGCCAGATTTTGTTTGTTACCCGTAAGAGCATTGACTAATGCACTTTTACCAATGCGTGGTGCTCCAAAAAGTAATATATTACATTCAAGTTTTTCCTTTACATAATTGACTTCAGTACTATAACAATCACTTGACAACACATTTGTCACTTTGCAAGGAATCGTATGCAGAGCCTCGTCGCGATTAGCAACTCTGTATTTGTTTGATGTATCTGTAACAATATCGGGCTTATCAGGACATATTTCATTACTAGAGCATTTGTTGGTATCTGCATTTATCATTTTATTAAGATATGGATCATCGTTTGCGGTTTGCATAGCATCTGTATATGTTGAGCTGACTGAAGCTAGTTTTGTCTGCTGCATGTGTATCGTATTCTCCGTAATGGTGGGTTGATAGCTGTATTCTTGGTCGAGTTCAGTTTCGCTATCGGAATTCCCATCCGTTTTATAGTTGTTGGTAGTATCAGAATCAGATTCATCGTAAATATTATAAGGTTGATTGGTTTCGCTTATTTCGTACGTAGTCGACTGTTGGTCATTATCGAGCAGCTCACATGAAATGTTGCCATGGCCAATGACTTTGCTAGCAAAGTTCTTATCAACTTCGGTATCCATCTTACTAATAAATTCGACGTCCGCATTATGATGTGGACTATCGCCTATGTTTGACACGACTTGAAGACCTTGAACGGCAGTACTACTTTCATCGGATTGAAGTTGCAAACTCATAATTTTAGGGGCGGCAACGGTATTCTCATTAAGTTTACCACAGGCATCATCAATTTGTTCCATTTGCCTTGCACTATCCTCATCCAGCATGATCTTGCCAAGTTTCCGTTCAATCTTATCTCGATCAGACACAGTGGAGGTAGTCTCATGCTCAGAAATTTCACCATAGTTGCAATTGTGCTGGACTACTGTTTCACTCGAATTCGAATCTTGATCAGACGCCGCTGAAGTAGTATACTGTTGAGAAAGTTCACTATCACCGCAATCATGTTGGGCTACGGGTTCATTCGTGTTCGAATCTTGATCGGACACCGCGGAACTAGTATCTTGTTGAGGAATTTCACTCTCGTTGCAATCCCGTTGGCCTAGTGTTTCATTCGAATTCGAATCTTGATCGAACACCGTGAAAGTATTATCATGTTGACAAGTTTCACTATTGTTGCTTTCGTTTCGGACTACTGTTTCAGTCGAGATCGAATCTTGGTCAGACACAGCGAAAGTAGTATCTTGTTGACAAGTTTCACTATTGTCACATTCATTTTCGCTGTTTTTTTCTCTGGAAGTCGTGTCGAGCACAGAATAGGAGGTTTCTCTATGTTCATGTTGAACAGACAATGTATCTAAGTTCGGTAATAAATCTATACAAATAAATAGGGAGCAGTTAAAAATTATTTTACCTTGCTCTAAATCATCTTCGTTTTGTGCCATTTCAAAAGATATTAAGTAAGTCAATTAGGAACGTGGAGAAAATACAGCCACACCTAAATAGAAAACTGAAAAAGATTCAATAGAATCGTCACTTCCATATAGAAAGATCTTGTGTGCCTATTAAGTATAAAAGAACGTTTGTTGATGCTTGAGGACAATTCTAATAGGCATCACTCGATTGCAATGAACCGATCGAGAAAAATTATTTGAGTAAAAGTCTCTAGACAATACAAATGTTGACAAATCTACAACATGTCTCTGGCATTTTTGACTATCAGAAGACCGACACCATAACAATGTTTTCATCTAATCAAGTAAATATGTCGCCACTTTTCCACTCGCCATGAGAGCATTGCATATCTGTTATGGGATCTTTCAAAACTCTAAGCTCGAAAAAAAAATCATAGATTTCCATCTCAGCTCATCTAGTTCTTGAAAGTAAAAGTGAAGATCTCTATATATGTTATGCGTAGCTTTTCGATTTTAACGACTTATAGCAATAAGAAAACAGAAGTGGGTATTTGCTTTTCTTATCTTGCTCACTATTATCTTTTATGATTATACATCAACAAGTCAAATATTGCATAAGAAACAAGAGCCGCCAGTATAGAATGTATGATGCAATGTCGGACTTTACTACGAGTTCCACCCTTGAAAAGGCTTTTTCCAATTCAAAATGACGTTGTTCCACCGAACACACGACACGTGGCATTTTTCTGTAACATCATATATTGTACTATTGTGTATTCAAAAAGTGAATACACTATAGAATCGGTCAGTGTGTCCGTCCGGCCGTCCTGCCGTTTACACGATAACTTTCGAAAGGAGAGTCAGATGGTGATGAAATTTTCTACACAGTTCAGTCTCATCA